GTTAAAGCCTTCGCGACGCAAACTAATGACAGCATGATGACGCTTTACCTTGGTAATTAGGGTTTAGGGTTTAGGGTTTAGGGTTTAGGGTTTAGGGTGTATTAGAGTTGGGCTTCTGGGAATTGCAGGGCCCGCGGCGGATTAGTGGATGTAGCTCAGGGTTTAGGGTTTAGGGTTTAGGGTTTAGGGTTTAGGGTTTAGGGTTTGTGTTGCAGCTAGCGTTGTCCGCTCGGTGTTGGCGCTGCACAACTTGATTGACAACAAGATCCGGAACAAGAGGGACGCGGAGCTGAAGGAGAAGGTTAGGGTTTAGGGTTTAGGGTTTAGGGTTTAGGGTTTAGGGGGTGCACCTGCGCGCAGTCGCTGTGAACAGCTAGGGTTTAGTGTTTGTGTTTTGAAGTTTAGGGTTTGAGGCGCACGTGGACGAGTCGCCATCCTTGTGTGCGAGCTAGGGTTTAGGGTTTAGGGTTTAGGGTTTAGGGTTTAGGGTTTAGGGTTTATTGCGTTTTAGGAATCGGCAACGGCTGAGGAGGAGAAACACAAAAAGGCAGAGGCGGAGACGCGGGCGTGAGCGCAGCGCATGCATGCAAAGCCCCAAAGCTGCAGCAGCAGCAGCAGCAGCAGCAGTTGCAGCAGCAGCAGCAGCAGCAGTTGCAGCAGCAGCAGCAGCAGTTGCAGCAGCAGCAGCTGCTGCAGCACTGTTTGAGGTGTGCGTACGCACACCTGAACTCAGCCAACGGCAAAAAGCGGTTTTCTATCTAGGGTTTAGGGTTTAGGGTTTAGGGTTTGGGCCGTGCTGGCAGCAGCCAGCCCGCACCCGGCCCAAACCCTAAACCCTAAACCCTAAACCCTCGTTCTGAAAACAGAGCCTTTAATGCATGCAGCGAACTGCAGTGTACTTATAATATATTTATAATATATTATAAATATAAATATATTTAAAATATATTTTAAATATATTTTAAATCTATTTTAAATATATTTGAAATATATTTTAAATATAAATATAATATATTAATTCAGAAAAGAAAAGAATTGTTCAGTATACACCTCAACTGCTTCAGTTGAGTGGACGTCTCAGGTGTACGTACACTCCAGCGCATGCAGCAGACGCTGCTGCATGCAAAGAAAATAAATCAACGAAAGTTTTGCTGCTGCTGCTGCAGCTGCTGCTGCGCGCATTAGTTGCTGCTGCATCGCGCAATAGCTGCTGCTGCGGCTGCTCTTGCTGCACTTGCTGCTGCAGCTGCTCTTGCTGCACTTGATGCAGCAGCTGCTGCAGCAGCTCTTGCTGCACTTGATGCAGCAGCTGCCGCAGCAGCTGCTGCTCCAGCAGCAGCTGCTGCAGCAGCAGCAGCTGCTGCTGCTGCTGCTGCTGCTGCTTCTGCGTGCCTTAGTTAACTGCTGCATGTAGGGCGTGGGCAAAATAAAGAAGAGGGGCGGCTGTGCTGCAGCAGCAGCATTTAGTTTGCTGCAGTTGATTTAAGTAGCAGCCGCAGCTGCGACAGCAGCAGCAGCAGCAGCAGCAGCAGCAGCAGGTGTGTTTCCCCTGCTGCTGCAGCAGCCAGTCCGCAGCTCACTGCCCCTTAGTCCTGAAGCAACCACACCTGCAGCAGCAGCAGCAGCAACAGCAGCAGCAACAGCAGCAGCAACAGCAACAGCAGCAGCAGCAGCAACAGCAGGAGCAACAGCAGCAGCAGCAACATTAGGAGGTTCCGTCTTGCCCAGCCTTCTGCCCCACCTTCGAAGCGCGCCGCACCCCAAACCCTAAACCCTAAACCCTAAACCCTAAACCCTAGGTCCCAAACCCTCAGCCGTAGGACCCAAGCTCAGCCAACCCCTGAAACCTAAGAAAACCCCAAACCCTAAACCCTAACATTTGAATCCTAAAACCTAAACCCTCAACCCCAAGCCCCGCCAACTTCTATGCCCTAAACCCTAAACCCTAAACCCCAAACCCTACCCCCACATCGCAACAACTCGAAACCCTAAATCCAACCCCTAACTTACCCCACCCCCTAACCCAACCCCAACCCCACCCCAACCCTAAACCCTAAACCCTAAACCCTAAACCCTAAACCCTAAACCCTTGCTCACAGATTTTTCAGCGAAAAACTGTGGGCAGAAGCTAGCGAGGGCAATTTGAAGGTGGGCTCCAACCCCACCCCCATCCCAGCCCCAACCCCTAAACCCTAAACCCTAAACCCTAAACCCTAAACCCTAAACCCTAACCTGGAGGTTTTCCAGCAAAACGTTTTGCGCAGAAGCCAGCGGCGGTGAGTTAAAAGTGGGGCAGAACTGCCCCACCCCACCCCCTAAAACCTATCTCTAAAACCCCAAACCCTAAACCCTAGAAAACCCTAAACCCTAAACCCTTAATTGTAGGTTTTCAACACAAAACCCTGTGCAGAATTAAACGTTGGACAACACTGCGAACTCCCTCGAAAGAAGTCGCGGTGCTATTTAAACCCTAAACCCTAAACCCTATGAGATGTTGGGA